TCTATACAAATCATTTCTGGAATTATGTCCCTATTGAAGTAAAGAGTTAGGAATTATGTCCTCTAGGGGACGTGGACATAATGGGACGTAAATTTTATATGCTAAATACTTTAGGGACCCATCTTTAGTCCTAACATAGGTATATACTTTCTAGTGAATGCTTCGGTTTTGATCTGCTAATTGGCGCTTGCATGCCAAATCTAGGGGCTCTTGTGGCCAAGTGGGGTGCAACTCCTATTATCTCCTAGTAGACACTCCAGTTCGGAACCGGTTGACATAGGCTGCCAAATCTAGGGGCATAAATGCCAAGCAGGATGCAACTCCTACATACTTGGTAAGCCATTGGAGAATTCATGTCGCACAAGACATTAATATCGATATAGTGCTCTTCTTCAAAGCTTCCAATTTATAAATTTTATTGTTATTTTAATAAAATAATTATATATAGAAATATTTATAAATATTTATATACAATTATATATTTTTTTAAAAAATTAAATAATATTGTTAATGTCTTGTTCAGCAAGTCTGTTACTTTTTTGGAGCTTTTCTCACATAATATCAAGTAAGATTTAGGCATTTTCTACTTGAGATGTATGATTTTTGTTCAGCTGAGTCTTGCTAATTCTTTCTCTTCTTTGTGATTTCCTATTGTCATTTGCTTGCGACAAGTACTGAATTAGATAAGCTAATTAGTTTTATTCTTTTTATAACATTTGATTACATATTTTAATTAAGAAGTTTTTAATTAAGACTATCATTGTATCTTGTATATTACGAATTATAGTTGTGTCTTTTTGAACTATAGTTGTGCTATATGTTGTATATGCTGCATGATTTTCATCTCTCTTTCTCTTTTTATAATAGCATGTCGTGTCTTGTTGTTGATGTTATGTCATACTATCTTATTAAGTTAAAATAGACTATCTATTGTTACTTTCCTTATACTAGCTAATAAACTATATGAAACTATTTCTTATTTCTATTTTAAAGTATTGCTATAGACTATTATTTATTAATTATTGAAAATTAGGCATGAGATGTGCTGGAGTGTATAATGCTATCATGCCCTATATCACTTCCCCACTAACAATATATAAATACTTGATTGATTTTGAAAAATAAAACAAAGTAATCATAATTACATATAATTTTTTTATTTAAAAATAATAATGCAAAAGTATTTTTCTTAATAAAATAAAAAAAATTTAAAATCAATCAAGTCAAAAATTTTATTATGATATTTTTATTAAAAAACTTGATAAAATTATAGATTATCTTATAATACATTATCTAATTGATCAGTTGCGCACTGTTAAAATTGATAATAAGCCACAAGATCTACAAGATAAACAAAAATTTTTTTTTGCATTTTTACATACAGTATGTGCGTAAAGATTATTAACGAAAACCTATCACGCTTACATGATACATCTTCGTAGGTATGTTTGCTGCTTTTTTATTTTAATATGGGTTTCTCGTATATACACCTTTCTTTTATGCACAGTATTAGTCTAGTCTAGTCTAGTCTTCATTTTTATTATTTGTTAGTCTAGAAACCTTTCACAATATTGGAGTGGTGACTTATTTCTAAACGAAAAAAAAAGAGGAGGGAGGGCAGAAAAAAAAACCCCAAAAGGGGCCTCAAAAGTCCTGAGTAGATTGTGCTAACTAATACACTGATTCCGGATGAGAAGTTGGAGAGATATTGGTGTAGTTCACATCTAGTCACTTCAATATTTCTCTGTAGCATACTAGATAACATTTATCTAACGGAAATTATTTTTAAATTCAATACTACTTTAGGTGATATGACGAACGCCAAGTTTCTCAAATATTTTCTTATGTTTTTATACATAACACGAAGAATATATAGTTAAGTTTCAGATGTAGTATAATTTAGAACTTTGCGATGTTTCTGTTTATTCGATATGTATTAAATATTGGCCTTGGTGTAAATACGTATATACTTATTCAAATATACTAGAGATGTGATTCACGCGAAATAAATTTAATAAACAAATCTAATACGCACTTTTTTTTTTTATAATTTGATCATTTATCTTACGATGATTATTTCGGATGTAGACTCCGGTGTATATACAGTATATTGTGTACTGATAGGTTATTTTATATTATCCTTTTTTTTCTTTCGAGTTATTTTTCCTTGATATTTTTATTAAATACAATTGTTTCTTTTAGTGCATTAAAAAAAAGCCTATGTATATTATAATGTATTGATGACTACTAAATATTTTGATGGGTTATTTTACAGACTTAAACAAGAGACTCGAGTGATATACAAATTGATATTAATTTGTTTATCAAACTTCAGTGATTAAACTCAAGATGTAATTCAAAATGCTGCAGATGACATTCTGCAAAATCTAAAAAACAATTTACTTAAGGATTTTGACAAGAAAAGAAATCTTGAAATGGTCATTGATACCATTGCACCAGATAGATTTGTGCAGCTAGTGAATTTGGGAAAAAAACAACAGATTATTATTCTGGGGATGCCATGAATGACAGTGAACTTTCAGGCGGGAGGGATAATGAACTTGAGTTTATATAATGTTTAATGAAGAGAAAAAGGAAGATGGTGAATTTGAAAAATACAAGGTTGAGTCTGAGGAAAAAAATGTATAGAACATTGACAACAGCGTTGGTCAAGTTGAGAATTAAGAAGATAAGAGAGTTTCATTTATATGAAGAAAATGAAAGGTTACATTTAACAGCAAAACGAAATTGTTTACAGCCAGAATTTTTTAGTCAACTTATGTTTCTTAAATGAAATATGCAATTTTTGAACCTATTTTTAAATTAGAATAATAATTTTATAAACGCATTCATATAAAACCTTTATAGATACATAAATATATGATTTTCGTATTATTTGTCAACTATTCAAATTTTATTTTAAGAGATCAAACCTATTCGAATCGAATATGTAGTAAACCCTAATCAACATTATAATAAATTTAAAAAAATATTATACGTTGCGTATAATTTATTTTGTATTTTCTCAACGTGTGTCATCACATTGGTCATTCTGTAAGAAAAATGTATAAAGCCAGTAGCATTTATTCAATAAACAACAAATTCGGTTAAATCAAATTGCCTCTAAACTTAATTTTTGATTAATACGGTGACGCGAATTTTACCATTGCTAGCAAATGGCTTAGCGATACCGTTACAATGAAAAGTAATTGATATCCTATCCACTACAATTAGCTAACGCTCGTTATGACATATCGTTAGTACTAATAACGACTATTGGTGCCATAAGTATTTGATGTATAGGGAAATAATAAACTTCTTTCACCGATACCATTACCTCCAAATACTTCCAAATTTTTAACCAAATTGAAAAGGATCATAGCAATCTGCGTTGCTGATAAAACAATGCAGGCAGTGGAGTGTCTTTTCTCATAATGATCAACATGTTCGACACCAATTCCAAGGAGTAAACTAAAAATTTAAAATAAAAACCAGTTTGTGAGATCTCTTTTTTTTTTTTGATGAATAGATATTTGAAAGATAATCTAAAGCATACCAAGCGATAGTGGCACTAAATATTAGATCTCGCCTTCCATAGCTGAAGATTCCGTTAAAGCACCAAGCAAAACCGATTAAGGCCATAATCCAAACTAACACGACGGCGGTCCACTCATTTTCATAAATAAAATTGACGGATCCTTTTTGAATTAGAATAAACAAAGAGTATGCTGAAAGCATCGAAAATGGAACATGTGTGAACAAAGTAACATGTTTTGGCGTAGGGTCATTATTTGGTGTATAATTGAGCATTAACCGATGATGAATCATCGACGTAGAGATTAAAAGCAAAACAATAAAGATTTTCGAATAGATAATATAACCAGTAGCCTAGTTTAAATAATCGTGAGATATTGATAATATCGCATAAATTACTGTTTCATAAAGAATGGACTTACAGCTTACCCATAAGAGCATCCACGCAAGCATTATCATGTTGTTATTAGCAAACAAGTAACCAATAACGTTTTCAACAATATTGTTTATGAAACGAGTATTATGACAAAATTGAACGTAAAAAACATAGCCGAATTGAAAAAAATATAGAACGAACCAAAAAACTACTACAAAATTTGTTGAAAGGGTCAAATAAGCATAACCTTTGTTGCTAGGATGTTCTGCCGAGTATGCCGACAAATATACATGGGTAGCGAAAACCAGCATAAGTGTGATTAAATTTAAAATTTGAATTATTTGAAGTTTTTTTGATGGTCCGAGATCTACTAGTGAAGGAGCAGTAAGAATAGGCATCGTCGTAGTTCTGGTTGAAAAAAAGAAATACATAGGGCGAACTTGGTTGTGGTTCGGAAAAACCCTTCCTTAAATATAAATTTATAACTTAAAATTCCGAAGTTAAGCACCCTTTCTTAAATAATTTTGCAGAAAAATGCTTGATTTTGATAATGGTCATGCTATTTAAGGAATCAATGGTCTGATTATAGTTTAATCACGTGAACAATAAATCAGCGTGTTAAATTTTAAAATACGATAATCTCCAAAAATATTATTAGTAGAGAAGTAAATTAAGGAAGTATTAGCTTAAGATTGTCGGAAGTGATAAAAAAACATAATGAATCTACTTAATTCTTTTGGATTTTTGAAATTAGTAATAATAAAAGTCAAATAATAATACAATTTAACTTTAACAATTTTTATTAAAATAAAAAGTAAGTATTTTAAGTATAATCCTTATTTGATTTCTTAATTATTATTATTAACTTTATATACCTTGACATAGATTTTATTGATTTTTAAATATAATTTTATTTAATATCTGTATAAATCCTTTGGCACTCATCTTGTTTTATAAATTACTATAATAATTTTTAATAATTTATTACATGTTTGTTAAAAATATGCAGTATATTTGTTACGTGTTAGATTTTATTTGTTTTTAAACAATTTTAGAATTGATATATTAAGATACAATATACTGTATATATACTGGATATACTGGAATTATTTTACAAAAATTTAAATTCATAATTTTTTAATTGTAAAATAACTTAATATATATAATATATTTAAATAAATATTTTATAATTTATTGAACTAATATTAAATTATTGTTTTTAATTTTAATTAGTTTAAAATGTTGTGTTTTTTAATTATTACTAATAAAAACAGTAGTATAATATATACTTTATTAGAATTGAGCTAAGCATAATATTAAAAATATATTTTACAAATCTAAAATTTCTCTAAATATAATTATAAAAAATAAGCCTATCAATTTATAACATTTTAATAAAGTTTTACAAAATTCAAACCTATCTGCTACAAAAAAATTTTTTATTATCTTTATATATTGATTTATTAATTTATAATATATATTATATCAAATCAATCAAACTAATTTTTAATTTAATTAAATTACAAAAAAAAACTTTATTATTTTTATTAATAAAGTCAAAACAATTTAATTATAAATAAAAAGATTATATAAAAAAAGAATTATAATTTAACTTTAATAAATGGTTTATTTATTAAAACTAATAAAATAAATTTAAAAAAATACTTTATAAAAGATTATTTTTAAATTTATATGTGTCAATTTAAGTTTTATAACTTAAAAATATAAATAAAACAAAATAAATTATTAGTTACAATTATTAAAAAATAAAATAATTGTTAAGTCAAGTTAATCTTATAAAATTATATAATTAGAATAAAAATTTTAAATAAAAGTAGTATAAATATAAATATTAACAACAATAATACTATATTATATCAATAATATCTTTAAAAATTATTAAATAAAATTATTAAAATAATAAAATAAATTTTTTAATAATTTTTATATAATTTTTTTACAAATAAATAAATAAAACTTAATCAACAGCTTAAATAATTTTAAATTAATAATATATAATTTTTTTAAAAAATAATTTATTAAATACATAATTTTACTAATATTATTATAAAATTTATTTTAATTATTGCAATAAAAAACAATTTCAAAAAATATCAAAAAATTATATAATTTATAATATAATAATATTAATAATTATACAGTATATTAAAAAGACCTGTGGGTCTATAGCATAGTAGTTAGTGCTCCACAGGTCAGATCACAAGATACCAGTTCAATCCCATGTGAAGGCGATTGAATAGAATTAATATGATA